CATCTGAAAGTTTCTTATGTATATGAGGCTTTCTGCAATGACCCCTAGTACTTGATAGACAGGCAGCTGTGGATCGTATAGTTGCTAGAACAGTGTCCCCTCCCTTATTCCTGGCTGCATGGGCATTGTATCACTGGCTGTCATCTCCCTTCAGGGTACTTTTATTTTTAACAGTGGCAAGCATTTGAGACATGATCAACTGTGGTTGTAGGATTAGGGATAAAGAATTAAGGTGTACTGCTAGTTGGAGAGGAGAGCCCACAGGAGCATATATATCCTGGTCTCTCATACTAATAGGGATGTATGCAACAAGGCACTGGCATTTCTTCTAACCCTAGTATCTTAGTGACATCAGTTTAATTTCTACTCCAGCTAGGTAATAGGAGATATGGGAATGGAAGACAATGGAGTAAACCCAGGAAGAGAAATAAAAGGATATAAACTATGGTGGGTATAAAACCTTGACAAGAGACTTAGTCTTTTATCCTAATTTAAAATAATAATGTTTGTCTGGGCACAGTGGCTCACGCCCATAATACCAGCACTTTGGGAAGCCAAGACGGGTGGATCACGAGGTCAAGAGATCAAGACTATCCTGGTCAACATGGTGAAACCCCGTCTCTACTAAAAATACAAAAATTAAGTGGGCTTGGTGGTGCTCGCCTGTAGTCCCAGCTACTCGGGAGGCTGAGGCAGGAGAATTGCTTGAACCCAGGAGGTGGAAGTTGCAGTGAGCCGAGATCGCTGCCATTGCACTCCAGCCTGGGTAACAAGAGCGAAACTCCATCTCAAATAAATTAATTAATTAATTAATAATAACGTTTACTATTAACCAAGAATGCAAATTTATGGCTGAAATTTTGTGAGAAAGAAATTAGTATACAGAACAATGCAAAGATATTCAAGCACCAACATGAACAGTCAAATTCATGGGGACAGGCAGGTAAACAGGGGAATAAGTAGAGATGGCATGATGACAGTGTCACCAGGATGAATGATATTGAAGTATTTAATTTTGTTTACCATATTGATTTAAAAAATTATGATTTACTACCGTAGCAGAAAAATCCACCCTTGAATTACATTTCACAACTTATGGGACTGATTTAGTACATTTTCCAAATTTAGCCCTTGTATCTGCTAGTTCCAATACCTTCTTTCCCTTTGGGAAATGGTTTGCAGTGGTACGGGTCTGTTCATTTGCCCATCATCCCTTGCCACACTGTAAATTTCAGATAAGAGATGCAATGCAACTTAGAACTATGAAACAATGTAACTGGTCCCAGTTACATGCTTTAAATCAGGTAAATAGACACAGATGTGATCAGATACCACTGATATGTTGGATATTTGGGACATCTGAGTCATTAATCAAGATTTTCTATTCCTCTAATGCATTGTAAAGAAATAAGACTTATTTTTTTCATAAAGTAGCCTATTCAAATAGAGACTATTATTGTCTATTGAAAATTTTATGATCAGTGTACCATTAAGTGGCCGGTGTTCACTACAAGGTTGACAAATGCACCCTTTCAATACATAATTGTTATCTTTATGTTTGGTGTTATGCAGTGTTTTTTTCGACTTCTTATTAACTTCTGTTCGTCACTTTCAGTGTAGAACTTAACAGTTTATCCTCTGTTTCTTCAGGTATAATGTGGAGGTAGTTTCAACTCCATACTCTTCTGTAAGACTTTTCACACTTACACTACAATCCAGTTTCTCCAACAGTTTGACTTGCTCTGCAATAAACATAAATGCTGCTTTTTTTCTTATCATTATCATCATAGGGATATCTGCAGATTTTTGACATTTTCAACATCTTTACATCACAGAGCAGAGAATAAGCAAAAAATAAAAATAAAAAAAATTATACTGAGTAATGCACATAGGTCTTGGTCCCATGGGAGCATTGTGGGGAACCTGCCCTCAGTATGTCCAGCCTGCACACATGGTGTGGTCCTTTCAGTGAAGCTAGAAGATAAAAAGAAATAGTTTATTGTTAGGTTTGTTATGTGAAACTAAGAAAAAATCTTTGAAAATGTGACTGACATCTGTATACAAAAGTAATATCATGTAAAAATCCTTAGTGTTCTACTCAGCCATTTCTTACCTTAATTTGCCTGAAACCTAAAATTCAGTCATAAAGAATGTATAAAAAATAATTTACTTTGGGAAAAATAACACCAAAATCTGCTGCTAAATGTAATTATTTGGTGCAAACTTTATTGACTTTTTATGATTAATAAGACCTACCCAAAACTATTTTAATTTTTTTATTTCTATATAAAAGTCTGTTTAATGAGAAAATAAAAGAAGGAAGATATTTCGGATAGTATTATTCAAAATAATGCAGAGTTAGAAAAAATCCTATGACTGTTAAATAAATTATAGTGGACAAATATAATTGGATATAATATATAAGCATTAAAATTATGTTTTGAGACTTTTAATGGTGTAAGAACCCTTTGTGGGCATGCTTGCATGGACAAATATGAGTGTATGCTGAAAGGATGTATCACAGCTGATAAGGACTGGAAGGGTCTTTTGTCCCTTTGGAAACTGAGTCAACTGTGTGTTTTTGACTGTGAATAATCATATGATGTTAGGTGTGGAATTTTCACTTGTGGCATCATATCAGCACTCAAAGTTTTGAATATTGGAGAATTTTGAATTTCAAATTTTGGATTAGGAGTAATCAATTTGTATAAAATATTTAACCAACTTTGACCAATATATATGTATTAGTATATCTCTTTTAGTCCTCATGAATATTTTAGCACATTTTAGTGTAGTCAAGAGCCTATTATACTTAGAGGGCTATATCCTACTTTTTGACTACCTTTTACTTTTAAACAAGTTCTCACATCATTAAAAGTCTCACAACATATTTTTAATGCTTATATATTATATCCAATTATATTTGCCCACTATAATTTATTTGACAGTCATAGGATTTTTTCTCACAGTGCATTATTTTGAATAATACTATCCTAAATATCTTCCTTATTTTCTCATTCAACAGACTTTCATACAGAAATTTAAAAAAACTAGTTTTGAGTAAGTCTTATTAATCATAAAAAAGTCAGTAAAGTTTGGACCAAATAATTACATTTAGCAGCAGATTTTGGTGTTATTTTTCCCACAGTAAATTTTTTTTTAGACATTCTTTACGACTGAATTTTAGGTTTCAGGCAAATTAAGGTAGCAAATGGATCAGTAGAACACTAAGGATTTTTACATAATATTACTTTTGTACACAGATGTCAATCACATTTTCAAAGATTTTTTTTCTCTGTTTCACATAACAAACCTAACAATAAACTATTTCTTTTTATCTTCTAGCTTCATTGAAAGGACCACACCAAATGAATCATGACTGATTTTCCCCTTCTTCTCCTTACGCACATCTTCCATTCACTCTGCAATATAAACTATTCTTCCTTGTTTCTATTTTCCTCTCCTGCCTTTATGACTTTTTGAAAGACTTTAAGTAAACTCAGTAACATCTTTTCCTTCAGTGATATATCGGTTCCTAGTACTGTTGTGACTTTACTATCAGTTATATGTACCCAATAATTCAGAGTATCTCAAAAACTAGAACTTTAATTAGTGTTAACTAGATGACCTATACACATATTTCCATGCACAGAAAATATTGTTACTTGCATACAGGAGTACATTCTAAACATGCTCAGTTGTGTCATGTTCTTACATGTTAACCATCAACAACAAAAAAGATGACTAAAATTCTACTAATCTGAAATTATTTTGCTTGTTTACAGTGTTGTGGTTTTGGACTGATAGACCAACATATGCATTAAAATTCCTTTGTTTTCTGAGACACAGCTGTTTGGGTTTTGAAGGCAACATTCTTTTTACTTCAAATGCTTGACATAGACTTTTTCTTTAACTGGATAGCCTAGAAATAGTATCTTTTATCTCTTTTTTCTTTCAGATACAACCATCGCCATGTTTCAAAGTAAAATATGAAGCTGCTTTTCCATCAGCATGGTTAAAAATTCATTTATCGATAAATAGTCTTGCTTAAGTTCTCTTCATTCTGTCACAATAAATCATCAATAATTTCAAAGAATGTTAAAATTAAAATATTTTTAAAATAATAATGGTTGTTATGGATACTGCTAAGTGCCCTTCATTGTGGAGTGGTGTATTATTGTGAGGTTATCAACCTTTAACCCTATTAAGACTCTATTTGGGAAAATATCATAATATTTTTATTTCAATATGAGTTGTACAATTCTGAATAACATGATGAGATAGTGCCTAATGGAGTAATTTTGAATTGAACTTATTTTTTATTTTTTATTTTTTTAGATGGAGTCTCGCTCTGTCACTCAGGCTGGAGTGCAATGGCAAGATCGCAGCTTACTGCCAACCTCTGCTGCCTAGGTTCAAGTGATTTTCCTGCGTCAGCCTCCCGAGTAGTTGGAACTACAGGTATGTGCCACCACACCCAGCTAACTTTTTTGTATTTTTAGTACAGATGGGGTTTCACCATGTTGGCCAGGCTGTCCTAGAACTCCTGATCTCAGGTGATCTGCCTGCCTCAGCCTCCCAAAGTGCTGAGATTACAGGCATGAGCCACCACTCCCAGCTTTGAATTGAACTTTTGGTGAAAGAAAATATCTGTATATAAATGACAAAGTTTTCTGATACCAATAAATAAATCCACTGGCTTATCCTCTATTTAATTTAAAATCAGTAACGTAATGATTTTTACAAAGGACCTACACTAAATGAACACCTATTAAGTATGAAGCATGGTTTATCTTGCCTATGAGATCACAGGCAATAATCCACACATCGCCACCATATTGTTATGCATAGTGTGTATAAATAAGTATGGACAGCCATATGATGGAATGCTACTTAACCAATAAATAATAATTGGTAAATTGGCTTCCTAATGTGGGAAATATACAATATATATCTATAATATAGACAGTAATTATAGATGATTATTTCTTTGTGGTTTTCTGTATTTTCATTATTTCTGTTTTAAGCATATCACGTGTTTATAATTACAGAAAATGATAAATGTAGTTGTAAAACATACCTAGTCACAGAAGTGGTATAAATATAAGTAAGTATAATATTTTAAAGAGCTACAGATCTATTAAAATGTACTGTTTCAGAGACTTTATGCTAAGTGGTAGGGATGCATTATCCCTACCCTCAAGAAGCCTGTTGATTTGTAGCCAAAGTGTTAGGGCAGTTCAAAGAAGGACAGATTATTTTGGTTGGTATCCCAGATGCCAGGTTCTTATGAAACCAGAAAGCCTGGAAGGTCATAATACACAGAAAAAACCTCAACTCCCTGTAAATGACATAAAAGAAGCATCTGAAAACTGTTAGAACTAAAGAAAAAGACTCAATTCAAGAGTTTAAAAATGATTAGACTAATCGAAAACCCAGTTTTCTGTTTCATAAATATCATACTTGAAGAAGGAAAGGAGGCTGGGAACTGGCACTATTTCAAACACTTGTTTTAAATAATGGAAATTTATAGTTTATAAATATTGAATTTCTCCTACACTTTAATATAGTGTATCCTCTTGGATATAGACCGTTCATTATAGAACATTGTTAGAACATGTTAGAACATTATAGAACATGTTCCCATGTTTCCAATTTTATTAGAAGTGAAGAGGACTTCCTGTGTTCTATGGCTGTGCCAGGTCAAGAAGGTGGTAGAAGTTGGAGCAGGGTTAGCTGTCACTGTTCTGTCTTTGTGGTGATGTAGACCAGATGAAGGTTCCTTCCTTCATGGCCACTGGAAGGCTGGGAATATGAATGAAGGACTGTCAACTGTATTCTTTTGGTGCAATAGTAGAATATTAATTTGGAATTTCTAAGTTTTAAAAACAAAATTAGTTTTCAAAGAATAAAAGGGAATATATAAGCTCATCCCCTATTATTCTAATTTACTATCCCGAGGGTAAGGATTTGTGTAAAATTGTAATTTTAAATCTTTCCTGAGGACTTAGAAACTTCTGTTTCCTGCCTAAAAATAGACTTCTGCATGTCTTCTATGGTGAAGGTTTTAAACATGGCAATGACAACATCAATTAAAGTGATTCAAGATTTTTAAATGGCTAACTTGAAAAGAATATTAGCCCATGCACCTGGGATGCTAGCTTACCCAAAGACAAGGCTATGACATCTATGATTTTTAAATTCAATGATTCAATAAAATGGATTTTATTTACTTGGTAATTTAAAAAATTTTAATTGTTTTGATTTGGATAGACTTTTACATATTTTGTTGCTTCTCCCAGTGATATTACCTGAATTTACCCTTTTCATGTAGATGTGTAACCAATTTAATTTCCAGATAAAAATGGATGGTATTTTAGATTTTCTGCCTAATATACATGTTGGTAAAATTTCTGTCAAAGTATATGAGGATCAATATAAGCTTTTAAGTGTTGCAGTGTGAGTAAGAAGTGACTCACTTGCTTTTGAACTAAACTCTTTGTAATTGGAATTTTTCCTCTATGTTTTTTAAGGTCTACAGTGAACCAGCCAATAATGGTGCTTCAATATGAACTTTATAGAGGTTATAGTCTTCAGAAGGGAGAGTAATATACGGTTGCAAGTAGAAAGAAAAAGACTTCCCAAATTACACACCTAAAGCCCTGTGTTTCCAGCAGAAAAAAAGCAAAGAAAAAAGTTACTGCAAAAAATAAACTGCAACATATAATGGTAGTTGGTAAAAATTTATTAGTAGCACAGACCTGGTATGAGAAAACATTTATTAATAATTGGGTGTGCAGAGTGTGTGGTTACATAATAGATCCCCAGATTAGAAGAATTTGCAGACCCAAATTCTTAGCATCCTTTAACTTCTTCTTGCCTTTATCTAACTTTCAAACATTTGGCTCAGGATCAACATAGAGAAGCAATCTGATTAGACATTTTGCTATCAGTATGACAGCAAACAGATGTTCTTATCATTCTTTTTAGCACTGTACAATTGATATATATTGTCCATTTTAGATGATGCTTACTATGTGTATTTAAGTGTGTATGTATATTGTAAGATTATATAGATAGATGTATAGTTAGATGAATAAATAGATCAGTAGATAAATAGATTTAAAAATTAGGCTGTAAAGTTGAAAACATTGAGGAAGCACTCCAGAACATTAGTCTGGGCAAAGTTTTCTTGAGTTAGACCTCAAAAGTACAGGCAACTCAGGCAAAAATGGACAAATGGGATCACATCAAGCTAAAAAGCTCCTGCACAGCAAAGGAAATGATCAATAAGCAAAGACACAACTTATAAAGTGGGAGAAAATATTTGCAAACTACCCATCTGACAAGAAATTAATAACTAGAATATATAAGGAACTCAAACAAATCAATAGAGAGAAACAAATAATATCACTAAAAAATGAGCAAAAGATCTGAATATACATTTCTCAAAAAGAAACACAAATGGTCTCCTTTTTCTTATTGAACATTTTTTCGTGTTAAACACGTCTGAAAGTGGTCAACTGGTATATGAAAAAATGTTCAACATTATTAGTCATCAGAGAAATAAAAATCAAAACCACAGTGAAATATTATCTCATACCGGTTAAAATAGCTTTTATTAGAAGACAGAACATAATGAATGCTGGCAAGTCAGGGAACCCTCTGGTGATCTAGTGTTCAGTAGCACAAGAGGGCAATTATATTCAACAATAATGTATTGCATATTTTAAGATAACTAAACTAGTGGACTTGGAATGTTTTTAACACAAAGTAATGATAAACGCTTGAAGTGATGGTTATAACAATTACCCTGATTTGATCATTACACATTGTATGCTTATATCAAAATACTACCTGTACTCCATAAATATGTATAACTATTACATATCCATAACTATTAAATATTTTTAAGTTAAAAAAGATTTTTGATTTTTAATATTAAACAGAGTAACTATCGTTTCTCTGGGTTTGCAAGAGGGTCTTCCTGCAAAATCAAATGATATTCCTAATTTTTCAGGTTCTAAAAATTTATGTTTTAGGGATTTTTTCCTCAGACCTAATATTCCATCTTTTATAATTGCAATTTCACACCTCACTGTAAATCAATTTGCTGTAAGATTTTTCTGCTGTTGCACATCCAGTTAATTCTCATGAAGTGCCCTACCCCTTACTCCTGTCTCCTGCACTTAATGTTTCTAGACCTGGTTCAAATGTGTTTTTCAATTCAAAACCTTCCCTGAGCTATCTAAATGAAGCTGATAACTTACTTCTTTGATTGTGTTTATACAGAGTATTTAACCCTAATTATTGTGTTCATCACATTAAGTTACATTTATTTTGTACCTTTCTTGCCATTAGACTGTGAGTTGTTAAGGATATATCTTCTGCCTTATGTGTCTTGGTAACTGTAGCAACTGGCATTTGGTCTTACAAATTGTTCATTGAATGAATATGTGATAAAATGAGTTTGTGTTGGCAGTGAAGGGGGAGTCTTTAAACCCTGAATGTCTGAGGGAGAATTCAAGGGGAGAGAGGTGAAGGAGAAAGATACCACTGTGCGCACTGGAATTACCGATGATATTCACTTACTTAGAATGTCATTTAGAGCTGAACTTTGTGCCAGTGACAATCTGAGCTGAGCTTTGTGTACCTAAAGCCAGGCCCTTGATTTGAACTGCTGCTATTTGAAAAGCCCATGGGAGATTCTGACCCTTAGAGTTCCCTGAAAGCCTTTTCTTAGGAGCTTTTCTGCTTGTTACAACCACCTATTATGATCTATCTCTTGTGGTAATTTCATAGAAATCTTCACCGAATTTTTCAATTAATTCTTGAAGAATTTTTTTTTTCATGGACAAATAGATGGTTTCAAAATACTGAGGAGCTAAAAGAAATAATGTTGCATGTAGGAGGAGGGAAATTGCATTTTAGACACACAGATCTGAATGGAGAGATAATTTACACAGTTCTTCAATTTAATACCTGTCAATAGTTACAACTGTGCTGTCATATTGGGAAGATCAAGGTAAACATTTCAGGATAGATTTTAAAATGGGTATTTGTAAACATATAAAAATAAATCTGACATAAATTTTTATTTTTTCTGTAGGAATACTTCATCTGGAATTAAAAACCTACCTGAGAGAGAAAAGTAATTTTAAATCTATTTAATTATATTTTATAAACGGACTCTGGAGAACTAGGAAGCAGTTCAAGGTAAGTGTTAGGGTTGTCCTTCATTCTCAAAGAAGACACTGTCAAACTATGAACTACTTCACAAGCATTTGTGTGAAATAAAGGCACTGAAAGTCTCATGATGCTCTGTCTTATTTATCTACCTCTATTTATTCATAGAATGCATTAGTTTAGCTCCTTAATTATTTCTTATCTACTTACTGCCTATATAATTCATATTGAAGAATTTTATCATTAAATTTAGGATTTTTTATTTGCAACTTTGACAAGTATATTACTCCCCAGAGTAGTAAATGTTTGCAAATTTAGTAACAGATTTATGAAAATAAATTGGCCTCCCCAGCAAAATAGAAGGTAGGAATTATTGCAAACTCTTTTGCCCAAGGCGCTGAGCTAGGTACATAGAATCCTGTGGAAATGAATTAGTTTGTAATAGCCAAAAATGGAGTGTTGAAGGAAATGCAGCAATAATGTTGATCTTAGTTATAAGGGTAAAATAAAATCACTGGAAAAACCTCTCCTAGTTTTTGACAAATGAATGAATATAGCTGGCTTCTTCCTCTTAATATAATTCGGTAGATCTGACGCAAATGCTAGTCAGGTTGATTCTGAGAAACAAAAAATTAAATACTGAGAACTCTTAGAAAGACATAAGCTAATTCAACATATAAATGGAGGAAAGAACAATTTAGATATGAAAAGAAATGGTTGCAAAAACAGCAGAAGCTTGGAGAAGAACTTTCGAGTTATAATTTATGCCTTTCCCAGACATTTTGGCTGGATCCTGATGATTTTCTCTTCTTTGTTCTGCCTACCAGGACCAGTTAGGAGGAAAGGAGAGTCCTCAAAATATCTAACTGCTTACTGTGGGGAGATGAACACGGAGAGTGATTTTGCCCAATTGCAAAGTTAGAAAATCTCAGACTTGAGGTGAATTCCTTCACCTTATACCAGATGAAAGAGAATTGTGGAACAGAAACTCAAAAAATAAATATAAGTAAAAGCTTAAAATAAATATAAGAATTAAATATTCTCAAAGATATAAGGAAGAATAATGGAAAAGATGGCAAAATAATGTATTTTGAAAAACATAGAAAGAATTCAATAGATAAATGAAAATAAAATAAATACAATTGGGTTACAAACTAATGACTTTAAAGATTAAGTAGAGGAAAATTTTTAAAATGTCGTCAGAAAGAGATACAGAAAAAGAGAGGAAAGAAACAAAATTTGGAGATAGGGCAGATGGATATGTAATTCTTAACCTTTACGTGGAAGGTTTTCCAAGAAACTATATTTTTAAAAAGTGAAAGAGAGGAAATATTTGGAGAAATAGTGGCCTACCATTTGTAAGATTTAAAGAAGAAAAACATTGCAAAATTTCACAGTGCCAAACCTTATAGATATTTAAAAAGACAATACAAACATACTAAAGTAAATTTTAAAACATCAAAGACGAAGATATTATTAAAGTTTTCTAACAGAAAACAGTATTTATAAAAAACCCAAAAAACAAGAACTAAATCACTAATAAAATTATTGTTAATGTGATATAAAAGGACTTTCAATCTGAAATGTTATATGCAACTAACAATAATTTACATGCAAAG